AAGCACCGAGCCATGTCTGACTGGTGTGACCCCTTCAGGTTCCATTCTTCAAATCCACCACAAGTACTCGTACATTCTAATGAGCAAAGCCTGCCGATATCGTTGCAACGGCTCTACGCTCTCCTGTGCATTGCCAGTGTATTGTTCTTTGGCAATTGAATGTGAACATGAGCAAAACTGTTCGCTTTGCAGTCTATGAAACTTTTCATGTTTGCTTCATTGTGTCTGCAATCTTCTCATCTCAGACTATCATGGGAGCAGTGCACGTGATGCATCTTTGTGCGAGTACGAGTACCCGGATCTTTATATCTGTTGGAGGACGCAGAAGAGCGTTTTGTTTGAGTCACCTCGCGTCGACATGGCATCCATTCTGAGAACGTGTTCACGCTAAGAGCTTGCACTTACCCTCTGAGACATATCTTTCGTGACATTGTGCGTTGCGTTAGCCTCCATTTCTCACCTCAACATCACTTCACTTTGATTGATCTTGAGACACTCTCTCTTATCTGGAAAACATTCCATCCCAGCCAGACTAGTGTTAAAATGTCTATTGTCAAGCAAGAGGACTTGGATGAGCAGCGCGGTGTCAAAAGAGAACATGAACTCGACTCCAATCTGACCGACGAGCTGGTCCACTGTATCGACAAAGCTCGCCTCGCTCAACGCTACCTCGGTCTCGGCGGCTCAGCATGTACCGACATTCTCGGAAAAAGACTTACACCGACCAAGGGGGAGCAAGATGTGGTGTTTGTTTCCTTCCAGTGTGAGAGCATGGGTCGCATCGAGAAGCCCCAAGCTGGCGAAAGAGCGAGAATTCATAACATTGAGATATCATTCGTTGGCTCTGCTATACACAGCAACAACTCCCACAAAAATGAGAAGTGGAGTTGGGCCAAAAATGTCACTTCCAAACGCCCCACACAAAAGTCGCGATTTCAGCGCTCCCAAGCAATCGAAAACAGTAAGTTCATCGAGCGCACGCCGCAACTGTATGGGGAACATTGACCGAAGCTAACCTCTCCCAAAGCGATGCTAAACATTCTGAACGAAGCCTCATCAGATGGCAAGCGTAAAGTCGTACTCGTTGGTCACGATCTTCCACACATTTCGGCCTGTCTCTCCGAAGTTGATTTCGACCCTGCCGTTCTTCCTTATGTCATTGGCACTCTTGACACTCAGGACCTTCAGATCGCAATGAACTACTATCGTATGAAAGAGCAATACCAACTCTCAGACGATTACGTCATGAAGAGAGACCGCAATTGCCCTGCAAATGTTCTGGATAAACTTCTGGAGCTCGCCACGGTCTCCTTGAAGGCTCGTGGAGAGGATGATGATGAGAAGCAAATCAATGGTGGCGAGTCTCACTACCTCAACAAGCATTCTCAGGATGAGGTCCTCACTGCAGAGGATCAAGAACGTCTGCTACAGGAGAGCAAGGGCATTAACGTCTCTGGACGAAAGTCTTGGTGGTGAGAGACTTCGGCTGGAGGCTGTGACCGCTCTCAAGTGAGGTCTCTCATGACTTGCATGGAAGTGTCGAGGGCATGGACCTTGATGACGAAAATCAGGAGCATAATCACTGAGAAGAGAGCGTCTGGGTCTCAAAATGAATTTTTTATGGTGGAAAGATCTCAAGGGAGTTGCGCTTGCAAATCACTTTTACAAGCAGACTTTCTGACACGCTCGACAAGGGCAAAATGAAAATCACTCAGATAGTACCACACAGTTGTAGCCTCGACTTAAAGACCACAATCTAGGCTCTGGCTAGTCTGTGCTAAGAGGGGTTTACTATAACAGTAACTCGAGCAATGAAAATCAGGATGAAAAATACATTAAATTTTTGAATTACTCGTCACATTATCGTAAAACTCTATCTCGCCACAACCTTCCCACCCCTGATCTCTACCGAGAATAAATGCCCAGCACATCAGTAGAATTGGAGTAATCCACACCACACTTATCCGAAAACCCACCAAACTCCTCACCCCTACTCTTGACAAACATCTCAAACCCCCTCCTCGAGCAACTAAACCCAGGCCCATCAACACACCCAGGCAGCAACTGCGGACTCTGATTAACAAGAACACGATAATACTCTCCGGTCGCAGTAGCATTGTCCTGGTACCCATAGCTATCGCATTCCAAACGCTCCACAGCGATATTAGTAAGAAAAGGCAAGATATTACTCGAGATCCACGCGCGGTTCGGGTTGATGGCGTCGGTGGGCATGGTGGCATTCACATCGTTTGAGCCGGAGAAAGCGGAGTTGTTGAAGAGACCCAGTGCGACCAGCACGGTGGGGGGAGTTCGCGATGGGTGAAGGAGACGGTGAGGTCTTGAACGCCACTGCTGGAATTGCTGGAATTGCCGTTGGAGAGAAGCAACTCTGCCGTCGCGTTCACCCAGGGATAACCGATAACCCCTGAGATGGGGTTGCCGTAGCCCGTGTTCTGGAAATACATAATGTCGTTCGCGTATTCGAATTGCAGCCATTCGTTCGCGCTGAAGAGGGGGAGATCGCAGAAGGGCGAGGAGCCGCGGATCACGGTTTCGTAGCCGCACAGCTCGAACATGCCTGTTATGTCTGCGGCGGTCCAGTTGAAATTCGGGATCGCGGCGCGGAAACGGAAGAGGATGGACGCCGTGTACAGGGTTTGGTATGTCGAGGATTGCGAGGAGCCTCGGCTGCTGCTGTAGGCTGGGCAACCTTCGTAGGGCGTCAGTGAGTCGGCGCCTTCTTCGGAGCTTTCGGAGACCTGGACGAGTTGGGTTAAGTTGGTTTGGGTCACGAGGCCCGAGATGAAGCTTTTGGCTGAGGCGAGGGTGCGCTCGGCTGTGCTTGACCAGACTTTTGCTGGTTGCTTGAAGTGGGTGTAGCGGTCGCTTACGTCGATACCGAGTTTGAAGGCTTCCAGTTGGCCTATCTTGCTTAGTTTCTCGATTTCGCTTGAGCTGATCGGGCTTTGCCATGTCGAGAGGAAGGAGAGTACGGAGCTGCTGGACCAGTCTGTGCTGCTGTTTGATTGCTGTGAGGCATTGATCTTTTGCACAAATGGCTCGATGTAGGATTCGTAGTCAAAGTCGTTGGCAAAGATTGCAGCGTGTCGGACTAGGTAGGCTGCGCGTGTGACATTGCAGCCTTGAGGTGGTGCTGGATCGAATGCCGGGTCCTCGGGCTCGAAGTAGGGAGCGACGCCAGAAAGATGCTTGAGAGGATCAAAGGTGTACTTTGCACTTGCAATTGCAGATGCAGAAAGCAGCAGTGCGGAAGCAGCGAGAGAAGGCATCTTCGTACCGGCTTGTATAACAGCAAAGGAAAGCGAGGGCGCGTGAAGAAAAGAAAAAAGATACTATCAACCTGGCTGACATACCATTTCTATACAACATACACGAGTAATGTTCTTCAAGCCAAGACATCGCGGTCCAGTTTAGGAGGCTGTAAATCAAGGCAGTGAATTTCTTGGTATGATGAAGGTTCCAGCCAATTACTCAGTGTATGACGAATTTAATGCGGACAAGCTTCGGTTGTTTCACGCATATGCAGGAACCGGCGACAACCGACCATGGAGATCCGGGGTTTTGTCAGACGGATCAAAATGCGTGAGACAGTAGTTAGGAATAAAACACTTTGTAATCGCCTAACTTCTTGATACCACTTATACACCATTAAGCAATCTATACCCGCGTTCGTCCACACACGCGGACACTGTCCGGTTCGAGACACGCGAGACGGTGGTCTACTAAGGTGGATTGTAGAGTTTGTGAAAGCTTAGATCCTCTGAGCGCGTATACTGCCAATACTTGCAGCATCTCCGTCACTCCAATACTTCTGTCCATAAAATCAGAACGCCGTCGAATATGCCACGCTGCCATAACATGAAGGCGGCTTGTGTGTGTCGATTGTCTCGTGGAGATTGTTTTGCGATATAGGAAGAGCGCGAATCTGAACTACAACTAAAGCACTTCTACCGGTGTCAAGCTATACATATAAAACGTACAGCATACCCGGCTAGACCAGCCATTCTGAAGCATGAAGTACAACAAGATGCTCTACACGTAAATTGAAGATGTGAAATGGGCTATTTCTGACTCTCCACGTGCCCAGCAAAAAGACGTCACTAACTATCCATGGTGAGCCCTAACTACCTTTCCCTTTCCCTAAACACCGCAGCATGTCCTATACCGGATCCTTGCATTGTCTCTGTCGTAATGACAGGTCTGACAGAGCATAGGACTTATCCATGAATGACCCACAGTGTATGGGATCAAGTCCAAATTTAAAATTGGTTGCAAGGCAGTCTTAGCCGCCAAACATTCAGATCTTGGGTTATCTGCAAAGAAAAACAACGTTCCCAATCCAGTTCAGGCCACGTAGCCTTGATCCTTGTAGACGCCTTCACCTTGATAACCTCTGTGATATGAGGGTCAGGAACTGGTAGCCGTGATGATGATGATCAGAAACGGACTTCAGAAGCATAGTTGGCTGACGAGAAATTATCATAGGAGGCGATCATTTGTTCTCGCCGATAAAGTATCAGTATCTCATAGTTCCCAGGTATAGCAGATACAGCATTATTATTCCTAGGTAGCCTTTTCATTCTAGTGAGCCCGACGTATCTGCTTAACCAAAGAAGCCGAGGATAGTAAGACAAACATCCTGATAATCAATCTTTTCCTCCTTGCTATTGTGTCTTGAGCTCATTATATCAGAGAATCATGTATTCGTGTACTACAAGATAAGGTCCGTGACCATACTCGTCTATACTACCTTAACAACAGCTAAGAAACATGAGTGGGTAAAAGCAAAAACATAAACCTTCACGCACTCCTCCATATCCATCCCATGTAGAGGGGAAAACGGCAAAGACAGCGACCCTGCAAACCCAGATCCAGCCTTCAGCCACCAAAAAGACAGAAGCCCAAAAGGCAGAAGCGAGACCAAAAACAAAAAAAAGCCAGACAGGAATCTAACCTGCACAATTACTTGCATATGAAGTAACCCGACGCGGGGCTCGAACCCGCAGCCTCAAGATTAGAAGTCTTGCGCGCTACCATTGCGCCAGCCGGGCAGTTGCTTGATGAGAGCAGATTGCAAAAAGAGATTTATAAAACTTGATCGCGAAATTTTTGACGAAAATGTGGGGTTTTCAATTGGCCTGCGCCGAAATGGCGCGTGTAGGCGCACGGGGCGTTGGAGACGACATCGATAATTTTTTTATCGATATCCATCAATTAATTGACACTATCATCTACACGCCGACTCAACGAGTCGGACTATCCAACTCCCGTCAATTTTAGTTGAGGGAAAGGGTTCCGCCTAGCCATCCCTAGCAATACTGTTGCTATAGTTATTCTAACCTCATTTCCGCTAAAAGTAAGCAATACAATATTAGCTTAAAAAAGAATTAAAACTACTAAATAAAGTAATAAAAAGATTTAATTTATTTACTTACTTAATTTAAGAAACACTGCTCTCTTTATTAAAAATATTAAGCGACTTTTTAAAAAAGTAATAAACATTTAAAATAGTAAACTCAAAAAACAGTTTAAATTATTTTATAATTAAAACGCGTTATTTTATTAAAAGAATATTATATTGCTTATAAAACTTAAACTTTCATATATAAAGACTAAAAAGCTTAAAAAGGAGTTTAAAATGATAAATATTAAGCTTAAAATAATTAATATTAACTTAAAAGCTTTTAATATTAAAATTAAAACTATAAAAGCTAATATTAAGATTCTTAATATAGAAGTTAAAACTATTAGTACTAATATTAATAATAAGAAGACTCTAAAAATAAGTTTATAAGCGTTATTAAAGCGTCCTAGCTATTTAAAAGAGAGAAACTTACAGAATTAATAATAGTCTATTTTACTACAATAGAGAATGCTTAAAGAGCTCTTAATAAACAAATAATTAAAATTAAAAGTGATATAGCTTTTATTAGCGAATACTATAAACTCTAACGCTTTTAAAAAAAATACTATAATTATAATAAATACAGTTATTATCAAACTAAATATAGCTAACTATTTAAATGTAGTAAGTATACTAAAAATTATAAAACTAATAAATGTAAAGCTACTATATTAAAATATATAGTATATAATAGGCTATATACTATTATAAACGCTAAATAATTAATATACTATAATAAAATTAATAGAATTTAAAGCAAAAGCTAACTTACTAATTAGTCTATTTAAAATAAAAATAAGAAATAATAGATTATTACTAATTAGCGTATTAAAAGAAAAGTTACTATAAGAGACGTTTAATAGAAAACACTAGCTTTCTATTAGTAAATATTAACTAGTAATTTTCTATTTAATTTAGTCTTTTTAATAATCACTCTCCTAATCAATTTACAGCTATTATAGTTATTAAACTAAATATAATTAATATTAATAGTAAACTCTACATTTCTTAATATTAATACTAGACTATTATAACTCTATCTATTTAATAAAAAGAACTAGCGTATTACGCTTTCTAATTATTATCATATGTTTATAAAGACGTTTTATTTATTTAGTTTCTTACGTTATTATTAAATATAACTATAGGAGTTATTATTATTTTAATAAAATACATTTTTATTGCGTTTATATATATTCTAAATTATAGCTAGCATGCCTTTTCTAAATAAGATTTAAAGAAGACTATTATTACTAAGCTAGCTACTTTAAGTAATACTCTTTATAAAGCTAAAATAAAGTATAAAGAAAACCTCTCTATTATAGTAAATAGCGACTTCAATTACTATAACTCTATATAAAGCGAAGTTAATATATTATAATCTTAATATATAAAAGAAAGCAAGCTAATACTCTAATAGATATATTAATATAATACTTTCTCTACTTTTTTAAATAGCATAATTACTTTCTTTTAAAGCTAGATTAAAATTACTATTAATTTTATAATAGTTTCTAACTTATTTAAAAATTAAGTTATAAAATACAATATTTATTAAGAGCAATATAGCTCTAATTATAAAGCTATATTACTATAGCTTAAATAAGCTAAAACTACTACTTTATTAAAAGCTAAATATAATTTCTATAAAATAGACTAAAAAAAAGCAATCAAAGCCTTTAAATTATAATAATTATTAATTATTATTATTAATAACTATATATAGCTTAATTAAGCAATTACTGAAATTCAGAATATAATAAATTAATACATTTAGAACCACAGCTTAATAGTTAAAAAGTCTCTATATATAAAAGTATAATAAAAAGCAAGCTTACTAATTTCTATAATAAATATATTTAATATTAAAATTAAAATAACGCTTTAAAAGCTAAAGAAAGGTAATAAAAAGGAGAGTTACTATATAGTAAAATAAACTAAATATTAATTTTATAAAAGTATTTATAATAAAAAGCGATTTCACTAAAATAAATTTCTAATATAAATAAATAATATTTAGAAAGCTATAAAATACTTTAATTTCTAATTATTAGCGTTTAATAATATTTCTACTTTAATTACTACTAACGAAAATTAAATAATAGAGCTTAAAAATAATAAAGTTAAAGTAATTAAACTGCTTTAATGCTTTTTTCTACTAGTTTTAAAAAAAATAAAAAGAGGATATTCCAAACTTAATCATAAGATAAGTTGAGAAGTGAGCAGCGAGTTGTCTCACAAGTCGACTTATAGAGTCAATTGCTAGCAGACCACTACTGATACAAAATGTACAAGAACTAAGTGTCCCAAAGGGTATATATATATATTAAAAGAATATAATAATAATTACAGTAATATTAAAGGTAATCAACTATAGACACAAATCCAGTTTCCTTTCAAATTTTAACTTTGACTTGTGTCCAACTTGTGACATAACTTGTATCCAAGTTATAGCTTTAAGTTGCAACCCGATTTGGCTGTAACAGCTGTTATATTTTAACATTCCTATTTAGCCTTATTAGTTTATTGAATCTAATTCTAACATATCTTTAAACCTATTAAACTAAAACTTTAATAGTAGCTTAATCAATCTATTAGCAATTATTTTACTTATTCTAACAAATTGGATATTAATCCTCTAACGCTTATAAAGGTCTCTTATATAATGATACGCAATATCAATATGGTTTAATTTATTATAAATATATACGTTTTACACTAATAAGAGGGTAGCTTGATTGTCATTTTTAAATGTCACTAATGAACTAAAGGCAAACTTCAATTCTTTATAAATAAGTAGTTTAAAAGAATTTAGTCTAATTACTTAATTGAACCCTATATTCCTAATTAGGTGAGCAAGCAGCTGTAATTGTTTAGTATATATATATATATATATAGCTATATATTTAGCATCTATAATTAATGTAGCTATAGATTTTTGCTTCTTGCTTATTTAGCTAATTAATCCATTACTAAATATAAAGACATTTCTAAGGATCGAGATCCTTTTTGCTTATCTATAGCAAAATTGGAGTCTAAGTATCTAACAAGTTAATTACTCCTATTAGCATTAAACGTTATCCTTTTATTATATAACAACCTAACGTATCTTATTAGACCCTTTAGCGCCTTTATGTAATAATCAGATAAGTCAGATAAGTATTAGCTCAATCTTCTAAGCGTAAATAATATATCTAATTAAATTAGTATTGTAAGATAAATCAAACTTTTAACAATCTGTTAATATTCCTGTTAATCTATTCTTCAGTTGTCTAGTCTTAAAAGTCTCAAAGCATTATATCCATTAAATGGGGTCTTTATTAATTAAGCTTTGTCTTTTTCTATATTATATTTTATAAGCACTTCCTTTGTATAGTGAGCTTAGTCTATTTATAATGTTCCAGCTTTTCTGTCTTTTATAATATAAACGCCTAAGATCTTCTTTATTTTATCAAAGTCCTTAATTTTAAATATGTTAGACATAGATTGCTTTAACTAATTGATTTTATTTATATTTAATGCTACAATTAGAATGTTATTAATGTAGATTAGTATTATAATCTTCCTTTTAGAATAAATAAGTAAGTATAGATCTGCTTTGCTTTAAATGAATCTAAGTTTCTAAAGTTTAAATACGTACTTTTAGTTCTAATTTTTAATAGCTTATTTAAAACTATATAAGCTTTTAAGAACTTTAAGAACTTATTTTAATGTAATTTCTATATTTAGAAATAGTGCTATATATATATCTTCTTTTAAGAAGAATTTAATAAAGGCATTATTAACGTTTATTTAATAGCATTTTAAATTAAAAATTGCTACAATAGTTAAAAACAGCTTTAAAGTATTATATTTTAATATAGGTACAAACGTTTAATTATAGTTAACTTTATATTTTTATGAAAATCCTTTTATTATTAGCTTAGCTTTAAGCTTATTAAGGGAACTATTAATATTGAATTTAATAGCAAAGACCTACTTGCTTATAATAATATTCGAGCCTTTTAAAAGTGTTGTAATCTCTTAAATAGAGTTGGACAACAAAGCAATAAGTTCTTTCTCTATTGCTTCTTTCTATATTAATCCTTATATAGGATTATTTATTACGTCTTTATATAATGCTAGAATTAGAATCTGGAATTTTCCCTTTTTAGTTACTAACTATATATACTCCTATTAGTTTTTAGAGTTTTTATAGCTTTAGCATAGAAACTCAGCTACTATATAAGCCTTTTAAATCTTTAAAAGAGGTTTCTTAAAATCTGAATTATTGTTGTCTCTTTTTCTCTTTCTCTAAACTGGGATTTTAATATAGGATATAACTCGAGTGGATATTAGATAAGACAGCGCAGGTATCTTAATGTACAACATTACCTATATTTAAAGTCAGTCCACTAGTTGTAGCATTGCTTCTTTTTAAAGGCTTATTAGCTTTTTAAGTTCTAGTGCAGCTGGAATTGCATTTAATTTAATATTATTCTTTGTCCTTATTAGCAGTTTGCTAATAAGCTTTCTTTATAATATAGAATTTAATAAGCTTTATATTGGAAGTTTCAAATTGACTATGCTGCCAGGTTCGTTTTTAAAAAAAAAAAACTTTATAATACTTAAAATAACCATTTTTTATATATTAGGTGCCTATATCTT